AGCATGAACACAGCTTGTGTGTAGGTTACTGTATATTGTTTTGTCCACAACCTGTATTTTGGAGTTTGCAGGAAAGCACAGAGCCACATTTAAATTTAGGAAAGAAAACATTACAATTAGTCATTTAGCTTTTATCCTAAGGAGCAAAATCACAACAGGAGCTCTGTTTTAAGTCTGTTCAGCAGAAAGGTGCACCAGGATATTCAGTAATTCACTCAGGGCAATGCAAAGGGATTCGGAGGCAACAATGGAGACTGAACTGGGGACATTTTGACAATAAGTTCTGAACTTTAATTACTGAACCACTCAGTCTCTTTTCACCAGCCTATGATAATCAGAGGCTTGCTTCTGTCCCAAGTGTGACCACTGCATTGTGCAGGACTGAAGCCTAGGAGTTTCCTGTGGTTTCATTCTTGAATTGGCTCTTCCTTCCCTGCTGTTAAAGTTGGCGTGAGGCTGTGAGCAGCTGTGGGTATGTGATCACTGTTTCTAAAATAGAACTTTTGAATTTTTAACACTCTTTGGTAGTGTATTGTATTGTAATACTGAGTTGATCCATGTACAGTAGATACTTTTAAAGTGGAATGCTACTTTTAGGAAACAATTAGATACAGTGACTAGACTAGACTATACAAGGAGGTAAATGATCTGATAACCAAGAGAGAGTCTCATTTTTGTTTTTATATAAGGAACTTCTATTTTTATTTTCAAATGAGTTAGAAGAGCTATTGAGGTGGACTAGTTAGAAGAGTTCATTAGAAACAGTCAAAGGATCAGCAGTCTGATGAACAACAGATTCTGAAAGAGACTCTGAACTTGACTGTACCAGAAAGCTTGGAATCATACAGACATTCACCGTGGCCCTGCTTTTGAATGCACCGATGCTAAAAAACATTATTTTTATTACAGGCAATTATTATCACAGAGAATGCAGTTCCAGGACATTGTGAAGGTTGAATCACTGGGAGCTGTCAAAACCGAGCTTCATGTTTTGAGAGATCTACTGAGTGTGCAGAGGAGTGATGTTGGCTGAAGTCTGTTCTAGTGGGAGTACTTTCTCACATTCATTTAAGAGCTCTATCTTATGGTATTTGGGGATTCCAGCCAAGGTTGCACAGCCAAATCACACAAAAAATGCTACATTAGTGCAGGGATGAGATAAGACTCCTTTTATACATCAGTATAAATCCATTCCATGTTTTACAAGGTGTGCAGGTTCCCACAGTTAAGGTGCTGGTACACTTTGTACAACAGCCAGCTCACACAGCCTGGAATGGATTGGAGAGCTCTGCAATGGGAAGCTTATTTGTGCTTGAAACCTGCTGTAAAGGCACAGATAGAATGCCTTCAGGCTCATTTGTATAGCTACAATTATTAATTTACTGTACTTGGTTGATGCCCTTATCCATATTAACTCCCATTGGATACATTAATCAAACCACTGGTCAGGAGTCTGGAGCCCTAAACACCAGAACTCATTTCTGTATAGTTACAGTATACTGTAAATAGATATTAGGTTTTACATTTTGTTCAAATCCCCTTGTGCATCTGAGCTCCATAAGTATTGGGACAGTGAAGTCAATATTGCTATGTTTTGCTATATAATCAGATCATTTGAATTTGAGATGAAAAGGTAAATATGAAGCAAAAATATAAAATGTCACCCTTTATTTCAGGGTATTTCTGTGCATATATGCTATAGTCTTTTAAAATGATATTACTTTTTATGATCTGTTCCCCCATTTTAGGTGAGCATAAATATATACTGTAGATATATAGATATGTATATAAGATATATATACTTCACATATTGTTAAAACCCTGTAGAACCTCTGAACCACTACTTTAAAATGCAGACATTCATTCAGAGGGCAACAAAGTCAGAACATATGCCTTGAGAAGGCAGTCCAGTCTTGAATATACATCACTTGGATGCCTTACTGTGAGTCATTAAGGCAGCCGTATCCATCATGGGAGTCAAAGCTGGACACCTGCACACAGGGGTGAGGCAGAAGGATCCGGTGTTACAGAGAAATGGAAGAGACGCCCATTGCATCACAGTGGCACTTAAGCTATTGGGTCGCTACCCTGCTTGGATCACTTTTTGTCAAGTTGGAAAGTTAGAGTTATGAACATTGCAGGCCATTAGCTTTAATTCCACTTTGAAAGCCAGGATAATTCAATGCAGACATTTGTTGCCATTCTGTGTTTCTTTATCATGGTTATTCACACATTTATTAAATGCGATACTTTTTACTGTTAAACTATACCTTTGTGCCAGTGACAGTGACCCCTCCTGAGGTTCTTGAACATTCGTTCTGCTGGTATACAGTATGTTTGCAACTGTCTGAACCGAAAACTCTTCGCTTACCCTTCAAAACGAGAAGCAGATGAAACCTGGGAACACAGCAAAAGACAGCAAAAGAGAAGAGACCATTTTACCCATTTAGTGTCACGGATGTCAGAAAGGACGAACCGTGGAGAGGCAGGAGAGCGTAAAAGACCCTCTGCGTAGCGGTGAGACGAGGGTTAGCCCGGGCTCAGCTATTCAGGAAATGCCGTATAGAAACCTATGCCCTCAGGTAGCGGACGTGGGGCGACCTGGTGCTAGGTGGGTTTCAGGACATCCGAACGTCAATGCTGAGCGAGTAGGAAATAAAAAGGCTACACAACAAGACACACCAGAATGACAAGAATAATCACAGGGAACTAGGAACAGGAGGAAAGTAGAGCACCCTCTAGGTGTACTGGGCGTGACACTTAGCGTGTTTGGCCACTGATAGTTTAGCAATCCAGTGATCTCATTCACCCAATCTATGAAGGAAGCAAGGCTATCAAATCTTATTTCAGATCGTATTCCAGGGCAGGGTTTCCTAACTCCAGGCCTGGAGGGCAGCTGTCATGCAGTTTTAGATTCCTGTACCACACCAAATCATCTAATTGAACTAATTACTGATTTAATTGGGGCAGTTAAACAGATTTTTCTGGCTTTTCAGGCACGGATTATTTTAAGAAACCTAGAAAAACTGCAGGATGTTGTTCGTGTCCTTCCTACACTGTTTCGTTTATGCCCTGGGTGAATGGAGACCTAGTGATCCAAAGGGAAATAAAGAAGACAGTGGGCACATTGCTAGTTAGATACTACTATGGAAGCTCCATATTCTGTATTATTATATTTGGAAGCAGAACGGGAGGGTTCTGACCCTGGCATAGCCGGGGGCTGTTTGCCCTGTCCTAGTCTTTTATACAGTATATCATCAGATTTGAAACCACGAGGGCTTCAAAGATTGCCTTTTTCATTTGCAACATTTTTTAGCACAAGAAGCGCATTCTTCGGACAAACAGGATTCCCATTGTGAGAAGTGGCCCTGTGTGGAACTACTGCCCATGAACCAAGCTGTTAATTACCTTCCAGTGATGCACGTCAATGAGAAAGACAGCGCTCAGGGCTGGGATTTAGAGACAGGCGCTCAGTGTCCTGAGAAAGATATTACGTTACTCCCTGACCTTTACAGTGACTTTTTAAGTTGGGAACATTCATATTTAATGAGGCCAGCTTTGAAAGAAACAGGACTTCCCAGTCTCAGCTTCGGCAGCTTAACATTCATATAACATTTTTACAGCACTACATGTCAGATCAGCTCTGCTCCTTCCCTCCACCCTCTTGGACAAAAAGGCAGTCATCCACATTTAATCTCTCTTGATGTTTCACGTATCAAATTTTATATGAGCCCTAATTCAACAAATTAGGGTCTCAACTGAGCAAGCTGCAAATCTAAACTGAAACTGAATGTAAATACTGCTTAACACTAACATTAATACTGGGACATCTGCAATTCCTGTAGCCGGTTCTTTCTGTAATTTGCTTTTGATTTTCCTCATGCATAGGAAAATTAATCAAACATAAATAAGCTAATCAATCTGTAAGGTTTTTAACCCCAGATCTGATGGTGGAAATGTAGTTTAGGAAAAATAGGCCCAAAGCAGGAGCATAAGAGAACCCTCCCTAATTCCATTTAATCCTGCGAGTTTCAAAATGAGCCATCTAGTGTTTGAAAGTGACGAAATTCAGAGAATATGCATTTAATCTGAGCTAATGTAGAGGAAAGACCAATTGGTTAGCTCTTTTCTGGAAATCAACGGCACATCAGGTCATGCTCATAGTCTCTGAGTGTTCTTAGGCTGAGACTTAGATAATCAAAATTAAAGACAGAGAGCTGCAAACAGAAAACAAACTCCTGCCTATTGGAGGCAGTCCAGGCCCTGACAGTAATGTGGCAATCCCCTTTAGGTCAGCACATATTTGAAAACACCCTCCCAATTTAACATCTCTCGGGAATGTGGGGTCAGGACAGCACCCCAGCATGATCAGAATGCTGGCTTTGTCTGAATTTGGTTTTGAGGAGACACAGCCTCTAGGACAAAACCGACTCCACACTGACGTCATTCTGCTATTGGAGGATTCTCCTGTAGTTTTGCAGTAACCCCCAAGAGAACTTCATTTGACCCCTTCTTCCTAATTTAAACAGCAATTACACACTGCAACCCTATATTAAATGTGGCCTAATTGTTTGTAATTTTGACAGCCATATGCACAGTGTGGAAAAGAGCAACAGACGCAGTGGGGTTAGCATCCAGACTCCCTTAATTGCCTTTGTCTCTTTAATGAAATGTCAGATTACAACAGGAGGAAAAAGGTTTACTGTCCCACATGTAATGTAAAATCTCCAGGTGATCTATATAGAACAGCTGCTATAATGTCTGCACCATCTGTCTGAATCGTTTTTTTTAAACAAATTGTTAATTTGTGTTTCAAGGAAGAACAAGAAGAACCAGCAGCTACAAAAATTAAACACACGTAGCAAATCCATCGTTTTTCCATCATTTTCTTCTTAAGGATTTGTGAATTAGAAATGAAAATAGCTGGATTTTTTTCCTCCTACCAAATTTTCTTTTCTCAAATTGCTTTAAAATTCAAGATACTTTCAAATCTGCAAAGAACACAAAAGGCAATTGTTTGATAACGACGTCTTGTCTGGGTTAACTGATTGACAAATTATTAGTGTAGCGGCTCCCCCTACTGTGCTATCATTCAGCAAAGCTGGTCTGAGACTGCCTAGGTTGAGCTCCATCCAATCCAATAACTCAACACACCTTTAAATCTATTGTTAGGGGGACACCTGGTAGAAAAAGAGGCATATGGCACATGTGTATATACAAAGATACAGTTTTCTAACCTGCTGCTGAGGAACGTCCTCATTAGTTGTATAGCACATGTACCTTGCAAGCAAGATGGCATGAGACAGAATCCCACGAGTTAGTGAAGGCCAGATTCATTCTACAGTGAGATCTAGTCTGGAATTGAAACAAGGGGACACCTGTCTTCCTTCAATCTGCTTAATATACCTCCTGATGGCATATTGGCTACTGGGTTGAAGCTGTCAAAAAAGGTGCTTTGCATAGCAGGTTAGTGAAGTAAAAGACAGCACCAGCAAGGCTGACCAATTCCTGTCCTTTTCATGCTCCTCCTCCTAAGACAGTGTCCATCTGTCACTCTGGCTGGATGCACCACATTGTCTCTGTGTCTAGTCTCGTTGGTATTCACTTTCACCGTGTGATTTAACAAGCAAGGCTGCATCTAGTGTTGCTAAGAAATTCCTAAACTAGGCATTTGAAAGGAAGAGCTATTCTACCAGCAGGGATGTCTTTGTACCTCCAATATCCAAAGCTGAATGAACCAAGGAAAAAAAAACACATTTAGAAGTGGAGAAATTAAACTGGTTATCTGGCTGCATTCCCAGGTTATGTACTGTGTGTTTTCTCCATGTTTCAGAGACCTGTACAAGAACTTTGTCAACTACAGCTGGTAACCCTGAATCAATTATATATAGCCTTCTGTACTAGTTTATCATGTTAAAGATCTTATGTCAATTTCCTAAGCAAAAAAATAATATCACTACTTATTTCACTGATTTATTATTTATTCTCTTGTTCTTTGTCACATTGGCTTAGTAGTAAAAGTGTTTGAAGCAGGAAAACACATCTGACATGAGCAGTTTTTTCATATAGAAAAGGTACACAGATCACTTTTCTCTCAAAGAAAAAAAGCTGTATTGAGAAGAACATATCCACCAATATTATTCATCGACCAATATAAAAACTAGATTACAACCAGTGGTATATATCCACCAGTATCATACATCTAGCAGTATTGCCACAGCACGAAGAAATGCATATGTTATTTTTCTTTCTTTTTTTAATTAGAAGTTTGCTGCCCTCATTTTCTGGATGTCACTTAATATCTTTTTCAGCTACTACAGAAAACCAGGTAGTGTGTCTTCAGCACTTATGCCAGTGGATGTAGGACTAGCATCCCTCCCCAAACAATTCTTTCAGAGGCGCTTTGTTCTCAATGTATAAACGGTGCAAAGCTGTGCTCCAAAATGGGGTCAACAAAAAAACACCAAATATGCAAAATGCACACAAAGCAAACTAACCCAAAACAAAGGAACATTTTAAATACAGCCTATTTTTGATACAACATCCAGACAGCAACAGAGCCCATGATGTTCTGTTACTGCTGTTCTAAGACTGGATGGTAGTACGTAAATGTACTGTACTTAAGCACAAAAAAGCTTTGTTAGTCTTGTTCTTGGGATTAGCCGGAAATCTAAGGTGGTCTGCTATCAGATACAGTCCCTCTGCTTGTTTTACTGTTGCTTGTCGGAGCAAAGACCTCAGACATAAAAATTCATGTCTGTATTAACACCCCCCCACACACACACACATCTAGTCAGCCTGTAGTCCCCGCTGTCTGTCGCTCTCTGCCCATCACTGACACTTGAGTAGACCCAGCCCTCTATGAGGAGATTAACTCCAGACACAGCCAATTGGCTGCCAGGGTTGGGCAACTTTATGGCTGGTGAGAAACTAGATATAGGGGTGACAGCATTGAACTCGGAAAGGTGAGAAGACAGGCAGGACCTGAGAGGGAAGGAGAGAGTTTCTTTGTGTGGGATAAATGAGGTAAGCCGATATAGTTTTTTTTAATCTCAGGCTTAAATCTCTTCTGCTGATTTGGCTGTGTAAAATGATCATGGCCACATGCAAGGGGCTGTGTGGTAAGCCAAAGGCAGTGTGATCGTTTTCAGCCACCTAAAATGTCTTACAGATTTGTTTTGTGGGCATTCTTCTGAATGGATTGTTTTCATATGCACATTTTGCACATATGTACAGGGGCCGATTAACACAGAGTGCATATGTGCAACTGTTAATATGAGTATATTTACTTTGTGCAGAAAATAATCAGAAAAAGCAGTTGTTAATGGATCAATCTCAGTAAATCGTATCTGACACTTCTGATGTCTGCACTTTGGTTATTTAACTTTGCAAACTGTAATTTTTTTATTTTCAGATAAGCTTTTTAACTCTGTTTTATACAGATAAGAGACAGGCATGGCTAAGGAAAGGTCTGTTTCATACTGCAGCAAATAGGGAGAGCAGAGCTAAGTTCAGTGTGGTTTACATTTGAAAATATGCAGCGGCCCATGACTAACCTGAAGAGCTCGTTGTCACCAAATGGTCTCACTTTAAGAATGTGTCGGAATGAATCTTGCAGAACCTGAAGTACTGATGTAATTTTTTTTATTTGAATTCAATTAAAATAAATTGAAATTGAAATTGTGTTTAAATTGAATTTGTTCCTTCACAAATAATAAACACAGGAAACGTTATTAGGGAACTTTGATGAGATTCATACTGGAGCTTAAGAGGATTTTTACCAGAGCCTGGAGATTCTGGACTCCTCTGCTTCAGAAAGGGTTAAGCAAAGGGAAGGGAAGCCACTCTCTCCGTGCTTTCTCCAGAGCACTTTCGATGTCGAACAGCTGCTGTGAGCTCTTGCCAGTCTGAAATGTAAACCACGTGGGGTTTGGAAACTTGATATGGATTATGCGACAAAATGAGCAATAAGTTGTCAAAATGTAAAAGGGCAGAAAACAAGACTCATTTGCCATGGAAGACATAGTGGAGGCAAGTTATCTTTGTTGTATGTATATGGCAATCATCTGTCCGTTAACATTGGTAAGAATTAAACAAACAGATACAATATGCTTTGTAACCTAGTAACTATTCCAAAGTGCTCCACAAGAGGAATTTGAAAACGTTTCAGTGGCTTTTTCATAGTTGCTTAGAAAAACAGATGCATAGGAGGAAATTATTTTTTCTATGCAATGAAAGCAAGGCCTGCTTTGAATATTTATTTTCCAAATGAATGGACACAGCTTTATTTTTCACAATGCGCTTTTTCGTTATTTTAAGTAAAGTTTAAATTTCCCCTGAAACTCTTCATATAAATTTCATGCTTGGACTTGATAAGACCAGACTTGGTCTTGATTAGTGTGATTGTCACGAAGAAAGATGTGACTTGAGATGCATAACAAATAAGTTCTTGGGGAAATTTGCAAAATAGATCTATTTCTTTATTAAAATCTTTTTTAAAGCAACCTTCATCCACAGTGAAGGTGCACTCTCTAAATTTCTTGTACAACCTTTGAAATTTATTTGTAATGACTTCATGCTGACAACTGGTGACAGATGTTTCATCCATTTCCCCCTTTCTAACATTTTCAAATAATCAGTATGGCCGTGTTACATTTTCAGGAGAAAAAGAATTGATCATATTCCACAGTGGAAAAAGATTGGTATACCCATGTTACTTATTTTTTTGGATTATTGGATGTGCCTCTGTACCATACGTATTAATAAGAACTTGTGACTGGTTGTATGAAATTTAAATGGTCTTTTCCAGTTCACTTGTCACCTGCCTAGATTTCATATTCCAAAAAAAAGCGAAAGATTAAAATTGTTTCTCAATGAGATTACAAAAGCATTGCTATTCCTAACACTGTCAGTTTCACCCACAGCATGGCTGTGATTGTCATGGTCGGACGGCTTTGCCAGTTCTGTAGTGTGTAGGTGGTGAGAACAGCACAGGCGACTAACCACGCTGCTGAGAAATATGCAAGCAGACAGTTCCAGCGATGCGTTGGTCCCCCAAAAGGTCTTGGGGATCAAGCACTTGAAAGGATGAACACTGTAATCCGTTTTGTCATGCTAATTGGATTTCTGTCTTCTCTCGTTTCCTCCTCTCCCCCACCGACAGCTTTCCATGAAGGAGGCTGGGGATGGACTGCACGCGCAGATGAACTGCATGATGGGAGCCCTGCAAGAGCTCAAAATGCTCCAGGTACAGACCGCATTGGAGCAGCTGGAGATTTCGGGGAGGTCCTTCCAGGGTGGCCCAGCCGACGGCGTGTCAATGTCTCCTCCAGCAGAGGCGTCCCATCCAGGCTCCAGGATAGCCAGAAGGGAAGAGTACCATAACCATCGGGGGGGCAGCTTAGAGAGCTCCCCATCATCCTCCAGCTCAGAGAGTGGGAGTTTCTTCTGCCCCAGGAGGTACGTCAAACACGATCTACCGAGGAAGGACAACCACGGCTTTAGGGGAAGCAACTGTGTGGAGCAATGTCCTCCAGCCCGGGTGGAAGATCTTCCCAAGATCCTACGTAGCCTCTCCCGTGAAGGCCCCTCCCTGGACAGTGAACCATTACCAGACAGCACAGATGACTCCAATGACTGGACCTCCTCGCTGATGTGCCAGGGCCGGAACAGACAGCCCTTGGTCCTGGGGGACAACGTCTTCGCTGACCTGGTGGGCAACTGGCTGGACCTTCCGGAGCTGGAGAAGAAATCAACAGATGAGGGAGAAGAGGTGGGAAGGCTGGGGGAGGACAGGGGCGGCCATCCCCTCCGGCTGACCCGTTCGCAGGAGATCTGCAGGAAGTTCTCTCTGACTGCCAATTTTTTCAAGAGGGTCCTGCGCAGCGTCCGCCCGGATAAGGACAAGCTGCTCAAGGAGAAGCCGGGATGGATGCCCCTGGATGACGCCCGCAGTGAGCTCTTCAAGAGGCCCAAGAAGGCAAGCAAGGCCAAGGGCACTTTCTACCTTCCCATCCGGCCCAGCGGGCAGGGCAAAAACAGACCATTCCCCCGGACAGGGGAGGAAACAGGCCACAGGGTGGGGATTTACATCAACCGGAGAGGGCAGGCAGAGGTGATGGAGCCTGCACAGGCGGTATTTGATTACAACACAGCTGTTTGGGTGTAATCACAGAATATCAAGAGTGATTGGATTTAATCTCCTGTTCCCTTAGCTAGATTGCTTAATGGCTTCCAAATACAGTAAGTGTACTGTCAATGAAAATCCAAACTGTTTCACTCACTGAACTTGGCTGGAGTGTAACAAAGGACACAGACCTAATGTGCAGAAATGTACTTTTTCCTCTGTATATGAGCTGAGGGGCCTTTCTCTCGCTGCCAGTGTGATGAGCGGAGTCCTTGAATTTGCACTTTTCTTAATTTTAAATCAGTTGCCACATAGATGGAAGGTGTCTCTATTTTAGTTTTTTTTTTCCTTTTTGGAGAGTTCTGCTCATGCAGCACAAAAAGCCTTTACCTCACAAATCTTGCACTCCGATGTTTACAATCCCAAGGAAAGCGTGCCACAAGATACCAGAAAAAAGGGCAGTCCTAAACTGGTGGATTGGAACAAAGTCCTCAAAAGGTCCTGACTAAAACAGCGACAATGTTACCACATATCCTGTATATTTCATAAAGCAACCCACAAATTGGCCTTGTGTGTGCTTATAATACCAAAACAATATAAGATTGTATACTGATTCAAGGATCTGTTCCTGGATTTCTGGACATATGCCATGCATTCTGCTTCACCCCCAATAGCTTGTTCCAGACACACATCACATGCAGCACACTTGTAGTTTCCAGGAAACTGGGGCTTCCATGATGTGGAGCCCTTGCTTTCAACAAAAAATGGATAAATATAGCCAGTAATGAGTTATCTGTGGTTTCTAATGCTTCAAACTAATGAGCTGTTCAGTGATCCTATGAACTTGAATCTGTTAGACTTCCAAACCTTATCAGCTTTATTCTTCCCTAATCCTTGAGAGTGTCCAAGATAAGTTTATGGTTTTTTATTAGCGAAATAATTAAAGACTGACAGTACCTTAGAGACCCTTTGTGTTGTCAGGCTGCTATGCAGTCAGAGCCAATGCAGTGAGGAGACCAATAGGAAACCTGCACCAAGCTAAGGCAGCTGGCTTACTTTAGCTTTTCTGGTGAAAAAAGGACATGTTATGTGCAGAATTAAAGGTCTCACTTTTACTGTGCTTAGGAGACTAGCGCTATTCTTTGATTTATATCTAGACTGTGCAGGAATAATTTACACGTGATCTTTTTATTGCCAATGTATCAGTTTCATAGCTCTTTTCTTTCCATATTATCTACAGAGCATTTTCATCAAGTGTTTTTTGTCGTTAGTCGGTAATATGTGCAGCTGACATATAATATCCAGTGAAAAACAAGAGAGAGGAATAATAAATCATTTTTAACTGATTTATTATTTTTAATGGACTGCAAATCGTCTGATTTGTCTTTGGAACAATTCAGAGCCATTTAAAGCAGTAAATCAGATTGCAGAAAGAAGAAGGCTGAAGACAAGCTCAGTCATTCAGGCTCTATCATTCTTTTTATTGCTGACAATTGCTGACCCTCTCTGCCCATGTGGTTCTGGTCAGGTTTTTTTTTTCCTGCCATGAGAAAAAGCAAGTACAGCTGCAGCAATCCAACATTTATTAACTTTAATCTCAGAAGCAAATTTTCTCCCTGTAGTCTGAGTAAACACTTATTTGTTGTAGATTTTGCCGTCTTGTAACTTTCTGTAATTAGTTTACTGTCGTCGCTCTTCCTAGAGACATTTACTGTCTTTTATTGGAAGAAGCAGCAGAACGATTCCAATCACCAGTGGCCAGACATAAAGGCTTCCTGCTGCACCTAGCAGCAGTGTGGAGTAGTGGTTGGGGATGTGGGTTCAGAACCCAGGTGAAACACTACTGTTGTACCCAGTAAAATGCCTTGCTGTATAAATAGGTACAAATGAAAATCAGCCAAATAAATTGGTGAAAAAAAGGCACAGGGTGCAGGTGACCAGCCCTGTTTCTGATACAACATATCAGAACTGAAATGGCATTCGTAGTCTTTGTGGCCTGAGATATGACTGTGGGCTATCTGAAAAAAACAAAGGGTTATGGAAATGATCTTACCCAGAATTTGCATGCAGTATGTGGTAAAATGTTAATACTAAATCTGACAGTCCAGGGAAACAATGCAAAAGCAAACAGAAAATTTAACAGTGGGCAAGATTTAGAATAAAGTGCAGTTTTGGTCTCTATATCCTACTAAAGTATATTAAAGCCTTAGGAAGAGTTCAAAGAAGAACAACAGAATTTTTAGGAGATACAGTCGCTTTGATGCGAGTTAATCTCCCCATGTTTAGACATAGTGTAGGTATAAGCTTACAATTAGTGATTGAATCATGAAAACCAGCCATAGTTAGCTGCAGTTTATTACCTCTGGATAGATCACTCTGCTCTGGCTCAGAAGATAGAGACAGATTATAGATTGTTATAGATTGGTCTGGGAAATTGAGAGGAGGAAGCTCTGACCTATTGAAATTGACCAGGAGTTCCAGAAATAAAACCCCTGAAGTTCGAAGCAGAATGCATAACTGCTCTTCAATTCATGATGTTAGTAACTGAAACCATCAGTGTATTGCATGAAAGCAGGATACAAGAAATCCTGGAATAAACCAGGATTTAAAAGTATTGATAGACAGACCTCCGATGGAGGATGTCTTTTTCTGCAGAATACCCATATACTGTAAATGTTTACTATGGGAGATCATGAAGCTGTATTACTAGAGACTTTGAATGCTGTGTCTTTAATGAGTCACTAGTGTATAAATACGATACCAGAAAAACATGTTAATTTGAGCTCTTTAATCACCTAATTAGTCCAATTAAGTCAATAAGTACTAGATAATAAGTCTAGAATTAAAACAAGAAGTTAGCTTCGCTTCCCATAACATTTAGAAACCACTGATATAGTTTAGGTGATTTGGCCTAAAAAAGAAAACCAAGACAAAAAAAATCTATAGTACCCTATAAATTTACCCTGAATACATTTTCATAAGGGATACTTATAAAGCTCCCAAAATCACAGAAAACAGATAGCACAGCTGGTGTATCTCTTTACAGAAGCCTGATGTTAAATAAGTTGCCTTGTGGGATAAAAAAACATTTGGGGCAGTTTTCCAATTCGGTGTCCCTCAGCGCCAGTATTCATGAGTGACAGCACGTTCCAATTTTCAGCACACATGAACTCAACTCAATTAGTTAATTGTATTAATTAATTTACTGAAATGAACCCACTTAACCCTTTCTCCAGCCCTATATAGGTACTAATTTGAAGAGGCCCTGGAACATTAAAGCTGCAAAAGTGACACTGACAGCCAAGGCATAAAGACTGTTGAACTTCCTTGCATGTGTCATTAAATCTGCTGAGCAAACACAAACCCTAGTCTTTTCAAACAGCAGCCCTGACTGCTAGGTGCTGTATTGTACAGCTCCATGATTCTGTAAGAGGGAAGGAGTAGAAGACTTTGTAATGGACTCAGAAGAGTTTGCCCTCACTATTCATCTCCTTCTCTTAAAAGGTTTGTTTTTTTCTCAGTTGTTGTTGGTCGTTGTTATGACTATGATTATTTAATGCTGTTATTTTTAAACAAGGTTCAGCGAACCCTAAGATATATGGCTTTCAAGGTTCAATATGCATTTATGGATTCTTTGTACTGTAAATTAAACCAGTTTTATGCAATTTTACCACATTGTTGTCTGTTTTTCTTGGAAGAAAACTTTGGTGCAGTCTGATTGGGGTGCTCTTGTGGAGGTGAAAAGTGGTTTCAAAGAATCTGGATAACTGGGAAAATAAAAATAAATGGTGCAGCTGTGTTCACAAACTCACCAGAGGTTTGACATTCAGCACTCAACTTCCTAATTTTTAGAGCACCCCTCTTCACTTGTGATTCAGTCTCTCCATCGCAGCAAATTCCTGCTCTAAATTTGAATGCCAATGTCCTGCAAAATTCATTGCAACTTAAATAAATAAACAGACGACATGGTCCACTGATCAAGGATTTCATGCATTGACTGCTCTGACACTAATGGACCAAGATGAAGTCCATACTGGGAAATTGCCTTTTTACTCATAGAGCACACAAACCAAATCAAGCATCCTACATAAACTGTGGAAAGTATGGGCACAAGATTTTTCACAGTTCATCCCAGCTGATAATGTGTGTATTATTTGAAATATGGAGATAAGATAACTTCAATGAGTGCTTTATTATTTCAGCTGTTCAATAAATATTGTACACTCCAGTAACACCTAGTAAACAGGGCTCTTTTAGTCTATTGCTGTCTGAGATGGGCAGATCGGGTGACTAGCTGTGAGCAGTCACTTCCCATGCATGTCAGCAGCTGTCCTGTGTCCCTCTCTCTGTCTCCTCAAAGACTCCAGCCACTCCCCCCCACAAAAAAAACCCATAGACTGAGATTCCCTGGAGAACCAGAGGACTCTCACTGACCACTTTCCCCTCCTCTGCCCCGACAGCTGTCCCCAATCACATCACCACTGACGCCCCACTCCTATAGCTTGCCCCATGCATGATTGTCACAGGAGCTGTCTGGTGTGCGCTTAGTAATGTAAATGTGATAAAAAAAAATAATGATCACCGTCTCCAGGATAATTGACACCACGGATTAAGAGCAATGCTCCCGAACAGTCAAAGAATCTTCTCATTTTGACTGTGCCTGAGCTTTTAATGGCTTCCTTGAGTCAGTTGCTACACTTAAACTAACCCCATTCTGTTTTCAGGTTTGTATGCATTGATGACTTTTCAGGTCTGCATAAGCCATGCAGCATCATGGCTCTCCAGCACCAGGGATTTTAAAATAAGAAGAGCTGATTAGCCAAACATGCAGAGAAAGATGCCAGTTTGTTAATAGGGTTGAGTCTACAGAGGGCTGTTTGCATGCTGAGCACTAACCTAGAATCTACTATGCGATTGAGCTTGTTGTCCATCGACACACCCACTGGCATTTTTCAATATCCCTGCAGCTGTCTCTGTCGGACTGCCCCTCAGAAGGAGAAAGAAGAACGTGCTCAGCTTTCATAACTTATATTTACCATCTTATATAAATGTTCTGCGGTGGAAAGCAACTGTCCCTGGGGTTATATTACATATCAATTACTTTTTTGGGGGGGAAGTTATGTTTTTTTCACAATCTGGAAAAGAAAATTAAACAGGAGTAAAGTAAAATATACCAACATTAAAACAAAATTGCTCAGGTGGCTGAAAATTACCTCAGAATTCCTCGGTTCTCATTTTTCAGGCTTTAGAGGTAAGGTCAGTCATAAATTGCAGACAGATTTACAATTGCTAAGACTTCACTTGGTAGAAACCTAAGTATCTGGCCAGTACACTATAAAGACACACCACGCTCCACATTTATAACTTGCAAACTTAGTGTATACAGACAATAAGGATGAAGAAGCATTGTTTTGATTGCTCCATTCCAGTAGAAAAGATTTGAGGCTCTGTAAATGTACATTAACACAAAAGAATGTGAAGATTTGAATTAAACCAGGTTGTACAATACACAGTAACTGAAGACCAGGACACAGAACTAAAACATTTCTTTTTGCTCCATACAAGAAGCACAGCCGGCTGTCATTAGAGACTGATGAACATCGCAGGCACATCCTGTTAATATGTGCACTTGAAGGGGCAGCTATAATAGATTTTAAAGAAATTGCTAATGGCAGTGGGCGGGTGTCCCCCTAGAGAGGGACTAGAGAGCTCTTGGCTCAATTGAGAAGCACACTGACACTTGGGAGGAGAGGCTACAGAACATGGAGCAGACACTCAGCAATTGCACACAGCGCCATTGACTCGCGGCTTCAATTAAGACAGAAATGGGAATGGTTCTCTTAAGCACGGGGCTCTATGAGTGGATAAAAAATTAAATTACAGAGGAAAAAATTAATGCTTAATGTTGTGCTGAAACCCAATTTAACAATTTTGCTCACTCCATTAGAATTAGAGCACTGCTGCACTTGAAAAGTTTGATCAGAATTATCTAAAAATTGCATTTGAGGCCTAGGAGGACTCCAAAAAGTGAGCAGCATCTTTCCATTATTCTTTTATTGTTTCATAGTTTATTGAGTGACTGTATACTGGAATAGATGTGCCATCAGGGCGTTTCGTTTTCTAACCCCCAAAAATGATGTAAGATCAAGTAACTTTTGTAATGATGCAAGAAGAAAATAAGCCTATAGTCTGTGAGGCCACTCTAATTTGTTAATGCAATGCACATACTGCAGTTAACAACATCATCTCTTTTCACAGGAGTCACTGAAAGTCAAAAGGGGATTTTGGGAAATTACCCTCTTTTCTCCCATTTGAAAAACTTTGTTTTGCAAAGGTATCGAGATGCAATGTTGTTGTTTGCAAAAGTTGTCGGTAAAGAAACTGACCAGTGAAACTGCCAGCAGTTACAATAATTGCAACATGTATAAGATGGCAATGTTTGTCAAGTCTAAAACCTCCCTGGGCTTCTCACCCTCCTCACACACTTCATGTTTTAGCATTTTGCAGCAGCAGCAACAGTACAGTCAAGACATGCTTACAGTGTACAGGCAAGCTCCAAACAGGACAAGCCTGTGACTGATAAATTCTGGGACTACTTTTCTGAGAGGCTGCAGACAAATACAAGGCATGTCATTGTGCCTGGGCTTCCTCTTTTTTCATTGCCTGTTTGTGTCACAATGGACTGATCTGGTCCTACAGGGCAGCAGCCCTGTAGGTCTATAGAGAAGGGCAGCGGTCCTGCAGGTCTACAGAGAAGATCTACATAGCTATTTAATTCACTACCTGCTAAAACATTTAGGAATTAAACTATATTTTATTGTGCTTACAGTGCTTATATTTTATATATTCATTATATTTTATTTTATCCATTCATGGCCATGGAGAGCCACAGGTTTTACAGTTCACCCTCATATTATCAGTTACTCTGCATTTGTTTTAATGCACAGTTAAACAGGTGATTGCTTCCATTATGTAGTAGAGAGATCATCCATCTATCCATCCATTTTCTAACTGCTTGTATTCAATTCAGGGTCACGGGGTCATTCAGGGCCACTACAAGACAGCAATGCTAACCACTGCACTACCACATCACCCTTGAGAGATCATTTAAAATTAAAATACCAAATGCCTGCAGCTCTCAAGTACCAGCCAAACCATACCTTATTGATTAAGTCACAATTAACTGACTTAAAAATATCTGATATTAAAC